TATATATATATATATATATATATATATATATATATTTCAAATAGAGTTATTGAAATTTGAAAGACTAAAGAGTATAAAGGTATGATTTGCAACATGTATCTAAGTCTAAGAAAATAAACAAAAAAAAAAAGATATTAAAAACAATTGAAATCATAGAAGTGTAGTTAAATTAATGTTAATAATGTTATCATTGTTTATACCATGAAATTATTCGTGCTAATAATAATACCCGTTTTATAGTCATATATTGTATTACAATGATCGGTGTGGCTTCAGAAAGGGACTTGACATGCTCCGCGAACACAAGGTCGAGGTCGAGGCCTCGGCATGCCGAGCTCGACTCGGCAAGGCAATTCGAAAGAGAGTTTCCGATAAGAGAGAATACCCAATTTCAATTTATTTTCCCATTTATTTTTCAAATTTCATTAAATAAACCGTCTTTCCAAAAAAATACTAAATTTTAAAAAAAAAATAACAATTTTCTTTTTTAAAATTTCAAATTTAAAAAAAAAATAACAATTTCCTTTTTTAAAATTTCAAATTTTAAACTCTCAATCTTCAATTATAAATACCTTCATCCTTATTCACTCTATTCTCTTAACTTTTTTAAATTCCCATTTTTCTGCACCTCATCGCTAAAAATAACTATCGTTTGGTCTACTACAAGAAAAAATCTTACTTTTTTGATTGATGTAGCAGAAAATCCAACCCACAATGTCTGTCATGCGATTACTTTTTGGTCGAGAGTAACTAACATATACAACCGTCAAACCCTTCAACATCAAAGAAAAGATATGCTTTACGCCAAATGGAAAAACTTACACGTACTTGCAACTCGGTTTACCATTGTGTTTCGTAGGGTGATGTATGCAGTCATAAATTGTGAAAATGAAATATTTTGTTAGAGATTGCTCTTAAGATTTATCGTGTTGAAACTGATAAAGATTTCAAACTTGTAAAATTTTAGTAAATTATGAGGAAGAGCCCCAAATAGCATCAAATTTGAAGTCTTAATTTGTTTTCTAATTTCTAGTGAGTTGTGTGTTAGAATTTTTAGTGTGAAGTTTCTAAATTTTAACGGTCTTGTGATGTTTCTAATTTCTATGTTTTTTATTGAATTTCTATGTTTTTTTTAGAATTTCTATGTTTGAATGGATTTTAAGTTTTTAAAAAAATAATATAATTGTGATTTTTATTTTCTAAATTAGTTAAAAGAAAAATAGTTAGTATGACAAGTGTGACAACCTATATTATACAATTGATTATTTTTCACTAAAGAGTGGCAAAAATAACATGACGTCCACATTAAATGTGAAAATATGACATTAAACCCCTTAGCATTATATATGTAATCAGTTAGGATATTTATTGTGATGTATACGTGAAAAGGTGAAGTTGAAACGACTTGTGGAGAATGAATAAAGGAGTTGGCCCTTCCGCTTTCTTAAAAGATGGAATTAAAGTTTAAATATAGAAAAATAAGATAACCCCAAAATATATATATATATATATATATATATATATATATATATATATATATATATAATATATATATATATATATATATATATATATATATATATATATATATATATATATATATATATATATATATATATATATATTATATATATATATATATATATATGGGAAAAGTGAATATACCCTTAATGGTATATAAGCTTAGGTACCAAAACTCACTATACTACGTCATTTTGTATCATATATATAAATTGTAATTGTCCAATATTCTTATAATTCAATTTCTAACTTGATTTATTTCCAAGATTTTTATAAATTTCACATTTATCTTCATCTATATAATTTTCATTTTCAACTATAATATGTACAGCTTAGTAGGTGTTCGGCAAAATGATGCGATTTAAGATAAATATAATAGAGAAAATTTGAAAATTTTGGAATCAAATCAAGTTAGGACTTAAAGTTTAAGAACTTTATAATGAATATATATCAAACAAAACGATGTTTTATGATATGTTTGGATATCTAAGTTTATATACCCTTAATGGTATATTCACTTTTCCCCATATATATATATATATATATATATATATATATTATATATATATATATATATATATATATATATATATAATATATATATTTGGGGCTATCTTATTTTTATATATTTAAAATTTAATTCCATCTTTTAAGAAAGCCGAAGGATATATATATATATATATATATATATATATATATATATATATATATATATATATATATATATATATATATATATATATATATATATATATATATATATATATATATATATATATATATGAGGTAGTGGATCTAAAATCTAAGATATAGGATGATTTGATTACCGAATCAGAAAATAAAAAGAAAACCATAATCAAGTTTTTCATTCTCAATAGTCAATATGCAATGTAACTTATATATGTATACTATTTCACTGAACATAATGATTAATAAATCATTCATAACACAACATAAATTAGTTTTTTGTGTGCATAAATGGTGTCCTTTTGTAATTTTGTATAAAAATAAACGGTTTTCGTAACAATAACTTAAATAATACATGAAAATTCAAATTATCATTCGTTTTTCTACACAAAAAATATTTAGTAATAATTTTTCAGATGAAGCCGAAACTGTGAGTGCTTGTATATAATTTACACTTTAAACCGAAATTATTTGCCCAAAAGAGTTGCTTTCAAATGTTTTTGCAAAAAATGGGGTAATTTTTGTGCTCCCACTCACAAACAAGAAATTTATTGGCAATTTTAGCTCATAAAATATATATGTTTTGCCCTTCGACTTCTGTTTTGTTTATATATATCGACTGTTTTAATTTGGACACTTATCATATTAACTGTACAATTTTATATAATGAGGATATATAATTATAATTTTTATAATTTTCTAATAAATTACACTATTAAAAAACTGTTCTCCAAATACCTTAAATGATACCATATACTGTACAATATATTACAATATTGTGAAATTAAACATGTGTCTACAACATAATGTAACATGAAATTATTGGAGCAATCAAAAACAAAACTACAAAATAATTGAATAGAAAAATGTAATTAATTATCAATAGATATTGGTTGTGAATTTGAAAACTTCCTTACGTAATTAGTTCAGGTTTTGGTGGACAATCTGGATGATTGTTCAGGGTCCAAATTTTTAATAGCCTCAAAATTTCTAGAATATATAATATATTTATATAGAGAACAAACTAATTTATCTAAAAATATTAGGATAATTTTTTTTAAATTAATTGTTTTTTTAATGTTTTGATCATACTTATGTTTTTTTAATATTAACAATGAATTTTATAACGATGCTATTTTCGATTTAATTTCTATTATATTTATAACTTTGTGGGTTTATTGTTACTTTTCGTGGTGTGCCATATATATATATATATATATATATATATATATATATATATATATATATATATATATATATATATATATATATATATCAATGATATAGTTAACATCTACGAGATTCATCAAGACGATATTGTTAACATCAATCTTGTTATCAAAATAATTTACTCATCTCCAAACTTCGACTCATAAGAAAATTCTAGTAATAAGACTAATTTTCCAATTAAACTCTAACCAATAATAAACATTAGAAACTAAATGAAAATTGAAAAGCATAACAAATTGTTTATTTTTTTAAAATTACATAAAAATTATCTATATTAACAAACTCGTTTATATGTTTATAAGGATTTGTTTTATTAGTACCCCTAAAAAGTGGGCTACAAAAAACTACAATATTTTTGCAAAATAGTTTTGTAATAGAAGAAATTTCTTTTTTTAAACTATTCCACAAAACTAGCTGATAGCGCGCATCGTTTGATTTTGGAGTGTTTTGTTGCAAGCTTATTCATTTAGCTTTTTTATTTTGAAGTGTTTTATGTAGACTAAAAACTAAAAACTTCTGTCGCCAAACGAAACTTTTTATTTTTAGTGTTCTTTAAAAGCTAGAAGCTAAAACTCATAAACACAGTGTGTCGAACATGCCGAGAGACCCCAAATCTCAAAATCACAAATAACCAAAAAACCAAGACAAGTAACAAATTGAACCTAAATCCGGTTTTATATAGAAACGTGTACATATTTGCCCATGATTTTTGGTATGATGTTTCTGAGTTACGTCTGCATACATCACTTTATTCTTTCTATTTATCATTCATCTTTCAAGAGCAATGTACAAGTTCATGTAGGGGAGAGAGAGAGAGAGAGAGAGAGAGAGAGAGAGAGAGAGGAGCATGGGGTCGCCCTAGGCAGCATGGTGTGCCGGTTGTTGGCCGCCTTAGCTCCCCTCACCCCTTTGAGGAGGTATAACACATGACCTAAGAAGTACAAATGTACTTTTACTTATTGGTCATATAAGTTCAACATAAAATCGGTGGACAATATTGTGGTAGTAAACAAATACATAAAAAACAACTGCTATCGATCATTTAGTTTTGAAGTGAAAATGATTGATTAATTATGAATTTATAAGACCAATAAACTTGTTCTTCGGTTACATGATCATTGCAAGTTTGCAACTCTAAACGCAACATGCTTGCTTATAAAGGAAGAGGCCAATTACAATTATACTCATTATATCCCAGACCACTAAAAGGCTGTTACCATTGAGGTTTTGTGAGTTTTTCTACCTTTTTGATCGATTCGAGAACTACTGTATATATAAAGCATATTGTTCTATCGTTAATAACGAGTGTACGAGTTTGAAAACATCGTAATAAAAAAGAAGAAATAATAGTAAACATCTAAAGAACGGCTTAAACATAACCTAGGGTTCTTTTATTTCTTCAAATTTTTATAAGATTACACAAAATTCAAATTTACTTATAATCACATAGTGTTAGACATGCATACAAAGGTTTATAACAAATAGAATCATAGATAGATAGGTGTTTGTGAGGGTCGATTGAGGGGAGCTGATATTTGGAGAAATTTTTTCTTTACGATCATTTACTCGTCAACTGCCAACTCCTCAATCATGTGGTTAAGGGGATTAAACATTTGGAACTCACAGTACTTGCAACTTGAAGGAATGATGGATTCATTAACCCCCAATTGCTGATGATGATGCTTATGAGCAATGTTTGAATTCATGGGAGACTTACGTGAGATCACAACTGAATTAATAACATCATCATCGGGGTGGAAAACTGAGAGAACTTCAAACCCTCGAAGATCTTGAGGGTCAACCACCGGGTAAAGAAAAGCTCGAGCACCATGAGCACTCCTCAGCATCAGGATGGAACCTGGAGTCATGTACGCAGCCAAATGTTGGACCACTTTAAGCTTCTCATCGATGTCCATCCCCACAAGTGCAGCCAGAAAGATCACATCATACTTCTTCAACTCATCTGTCACATCCATTATATCGGTGGTGTGGAAGATCATCCTTCGTGACAAGTCAGGATCAGGCGCAACTAGGCAAGAAGCCATAGCGTTCGCCAAACTGTCAATGTCATAGTTATGAAAAGTTGTCTCCTTGAGATGATATGAAGCTAAGACGATCGATGTAAGAGGCAAGGGACCAGACCCCACGAAGGCAACACGCTTTGGGGGCCACGATTGAGCCGAACAGTGTTCACTGAGGATGTCATATTCGAGACGGCTAAGTTTGAGGTAATTGGAGTAGTACGGGAAAACATCCAGATGGTGAAGAGGGTTTTGGAAAGTGGCTAAAAGGGTGGAGAAATGAGCCTCTAAATGGCCTTCGGCTTCACCACACAGTCTAATGAGCTTAGACCTTATTTCTTGAATATCTTTTGGCAAAGTTAAGATGTTGACGGAAGAGGGAGGGATGCATGTGAAGACTAATTGGGAGAAGAGGGTGTCGACATCTTTGGAGGGTTTGAGGGTTTCAAGCTTTGAGATTTTGTCATAAATCTGGCACACTTTCTCCACCAGAATGTTGCGTTCTTGGATTGAACCCATGTCGACACTATGAGGAGAGGTGCTATAGGGCTAAAGATTCTAAAATCGAAAGACTCAAAAAGCTCTGCAAGTCAGAAGCAGAACCAATCGTGCTTATTTGTGCGGGATTGGCAATGGGAATTGTGCCCTATTTATTGGCACATGTGGGTCTCATCCAACATCTGCTTAACCTGAGAATGGAAAAGAGAGAGAAAAAAAAAACATCTATTTATTCTAAGTTGTATAATTAAACAAAATTATTTTCGATCAACTTATATATTTTCGTGTTTATAACTATAACAATTACATAGATTAAATTCGTGCAAAACTTTAATCAAATTAATTAATATAGCTCAACTTGTCATATTAATTACATCACTATAACCTATGAGCTGATCTGCTTATATTTCGACAAGATCCGTTAATATGATAATAAAAGAAAGATATATGGTTAATATATTTTATTTGAATATATAGTTATAGAAATTATCTAAAAAAAATATCACATTTTATCACGTATAAAATAAAGACAACTATCTTTTTCTTTCTTTCTTTTTTGATGATTAGATGTTTTTGTTTGGATGAAAAAATTATTATGTACCAATCGAAAGCAACAAAATAACTGGTTGTTCTTTACATAATTTTGAAAAGCAGTTGCCGATTTCAAAAGAAAGTTGTAATTGATAAAAAATTAAAAACCATTACATATGATAAATTTAAATAGGTAGCCATTAGGGTTGAATAAGTTCAGCAAAAGTATAAAACAATTATTTACTTGTAAAAATTGAGGTAAAATTATTCAAAGTTTTCGTTACTTTTTTTAGTTCTTACGAATACAATAATTATTTTATGAATAGAATAAAAAATGATCGTTATGTTTGTTTTTCAAATTTTCTATTACAACAAGCAGTAGTACAGTAGTACACATTAGCTAATACAAACATTCAACCCTAATGCTTTTAAAATTTATTAGTATGCCAAATTCTTTTACCAATAAATTAATCTTTCATCTGCACAATTAAATATATTATTTTATGCAGTTTTACACGAAGAAAAGCTTTATTCGATTTCAAATCATTAAATTCTATAGAAGTTCGATATATATGTTGTTTAAAGAAAGTTATATGCAAGTAAATATATGTGAATATAAAAAAACATTTCCTGAATTTAATATACGTGGAGATTCGTAGTGATTTAGTCGTGGAAGTTTCAATTTCCTTGAAATTTTCACTTGTACTTTTCGTCTATGTTACACAACCATTTAGAGGTTATCATTATTTTGTCATAGTGTTTAATTTAATATCAAAGCTATCTCCTTGTTTAATTTAATACTCTATCAAAGTTACACATCCATTCCAAAATGTAACATCAAAGCCATCTCCTTGTTTAGTAACCGTATCAAAAATCAAATAGATGATGAATGATGGGATGGTGCATTAACTATCATATTTTTAGTTTTTATTAACTCCATGAATTATTTACCAATTGATAGACACTAAATTGAAAAAGAAATTTAGAATGATGGAGGGATGCATGTAATAACTCCTATTCTATATATATTAAAAAAAATTATTACATCACCTTCAACAATAAGGACATTGATTGACTTTTCATAATAGTGTTACATCCTTAGATTAATTTGATGATATCATCCCCACTAAATAACAACTCACACCCACACCCTATTTTTTATTCATGAATTACACATTTCCTTTAGCAGATTCAAAGGTTCTAAAATCGGATTCCAATCGTAACTTACCCTCACATAACTATTAACCCTAATTCGGATCCAACATTGCAACAATCCATCGGCTATTCATTCTCTATCGACGAAGCATATTATTTATAGATTCAACCTAAAGCATCGACACTCATTCTTTCAAGAGTTATGCCTCTCCTTAATAATTTTACAAGTTACCAAAATTAGATTCCATTCGTAGCCTAACATCACAAATTCAGGTTTAAGATTTTTCCTCTCACCTTCACCGTTTTCTTTCTTTCTTCTTAATGACCCATTCAACTTTTCATATATTTTGTATGTGGCTTGGTTGCAGGCTTTAGGGGGGTGGGGGAAAGGGTTTATTAACGAAGAAAACGAAGATGGTGGTTGATTGTTTCGGTTGGTTTTCCCGTTCCCATTTCACGTGTTCTTCGTCTCATAATCTCATGTATTATACCAATTTATGTGTTCATCCCTAAATCGACTTATGGTCTCTATTTCATTTTGATTTTTAGCTTTTGAAATCCTTAAGGTTCAAGTCCTAAATTGATTTATGGTTCTCATGTAAACATTGCCATCTTATGCTAAGAAAGCCATGTATGCTACCAAACTTCCTGAGCTTGCTGTTATTGATCTAAAGAGGGCAAGCATGACCCTGAAAACTTATTAGTGAGAACAAGTCATTCCCCATTGTGGGAATGTGTTTAGTTAACGACTAAAGAATATGTAAGGTGTTAGCATGGATTTTGTTAGTTGATTTCATTCTCTAGTCAATTAGAACTTGTTATGTCGTTTTAACATGTACTCTATTTTATATATATGCGAAGACGAGTGAACAGAGCGAGACTCCTTAATCCAATAATAGTTGTTAGCAGTTACAAATACCAAGGGAAACAATAAGATATGTTTAGCTGTTATTGCTTATTCTTGATCCGAATTTTATTTCTATATGAGTAATTTAAGTTTTCATAAAGGAAATTTTTTATTCATGTATCATTTTATGTTTGTTGGTATGACGATTCCACTGATAAAGGCTATTCCTAAAGGATTTAATGATAACATATGGCCATTACAAAGAAAGAACAAATGTTACGTACCTTATACGATGCTTTATCTATTGAAAAATGTAAAGTTTTGCAAGATACATCATACATGCATATGAGGGAAGTAGAAATAAGATAATACTTCCACATAGAAAACAATACAAATCTATTAAAATGACAACACTATTTAGGGATCAACTGAAAACCTAACTAATAAAAGGCGCTTAAAAATGTTTATTTCTGAATTTTCTTTAGGATAACTTAGGTATACTGAAATTTCTTAGGGGTTGGTGGTAGCTATATTGGGATGGAAGTTGCAGCAGCTTTACAGGTAAATTGAAGGGTGCTCTTCTTGAAAGTGGATCTGCGGAGGTATTTGTTTTTTTCTCTTTCAAATAAGGGTGAAATACAAAAAAGCACAACATATTTTCTTGAAATGTTTTTTATATTATTGTTATTGTAGGATTTCCATATGCTTCCTAAACTTGCAAGGAGTCAACCATCTACTGAAAAAGTCAAACTTCAATGTGCAAATTTTGCTGAAGAAGCACTTGAGATTGCCAAAGCTTCTTTATAGGTTACAACTTACAACTAATCTTTCATCCTTCATTATTTTATTTCTATTAAAAACATATATCAGGAAATTAGTAATGAAAATACCAAATGTTCAATTAAATTCAATGTACTTCATTTACATAAATAGGCATTTTAGTTGATAAATATCATCCTCCTTTATAATTACACTCAATAGAAAAGAAAAAATATATCACCAAACTTGTAAGGCTGAAAACAAAAATAGCAATCAACTTTCAATTATCTGTTTATCACAACACCCGATTTTCAAATTATTGTTATTACTAATGTGTAGGGAAAAAGGCAGAGTGTATTACGACAAATTTATCTCGAGAGAGGTCAAGACGTGCAGCATGTAATGCACAAGGTATAACATGCTTGCAGTTTCTTGGTTGCATTGTATTAAAGCTTATATATATATATATATATATATATATATATATATATATATATATATATATATATATATGTGTGTGTGTGTGTGTGTATGTGTGTGAATTTCTCCTTTTTCCCTAAACATGGTGGTTGTAATGAATCATTGCAATGGAAATCATACATAAGTTGAGTAAAATAAAAAGTAATAATTTTCTTAACTTTATGTGTAGATTTATTGTTTTAAAATGTTATTTATAAACATATATATTGTTTCGTTTATGCATATTTGGTGTTATGACTAACATTTTGTGTACACTTGCATTGTGTTGTCTAAGTTCTTTTAGACAAATGAAGGAAAAATAAAGGAATAATTATTTTATTGTAGTTCTTTAGTTAGAAAAAAATGAATTACAAAATCTACAACTCTACATGTTTTTCGGCTGAATGAAAAGAACACAAAACTGAGATGTGTACAAAGAAATAGAATTAGATAATTAGGTTTTATTAAAATAGATTGTAGAAGATAATGTTTTTATGTGTTTTTGTCATACATAATTGTAATACCCTTTCCCCTACACAAAATTGTGAGTTTATGTTACAAATGACCTAAAAGTTTAACTGAAAGTTAAAAGTTAGTGTTTAACTGATTAAAAGACAATGCATTGGAACACGCTTTTATGCGGGTTTCTAGATTTTTAGAACATTGAGGATACAATCTGGGATTTTTTTATGATTTCAGTGATTGCATTGGTGGAAAATAGAACACCCAAATCTTTGTAGCAATCATGGGCGTAGGTTATTATAAGATTTTTCAAGTGAATAAGAATGTTAAAGACGATGATTTAAAGAAAGGTCACGTGAAGCTTACAATGAAGTGGCATCTTGATAAGAACCCTACTAATAAGAATGAAGCAGAAACTAAGTATAAGCACATCTATGAAGCATATGATGTATGTCTCTATTCCCATCTCCTTCTTTCTGTATGACACATTTATCGTTAATTGCTCAAATTCTTATCATGTGAATTCTTAATTGGGTGTTTCATAGTTTTTTTTTTGTAGATTGAAATTCATAATCTTCATTAGCAATCAACTAAAATACGGTAACATTTCATATGTTGATCCGAACTTTTTGCATTAAATTTTATTGTTGTTTTCGTATTTTTATTGTTGTTTTTCTATATTTTTTTCAGAAGCTATTAATTATTATGTCTACTTTTTTTTTTCTCATCAATAAATTCGCCCTGAAATTGGTAAATTTGTTGACATTATCCTCATCATTTCACTAACCTTGATTTTTAGGTGATCCTT